GAATAGGGGATAGCCCATGCGATGATGTTACGGATTGTGCTGGAATACAGTTATGTTTCTGCTGGTGCTCCGTAGCATGTTATTGATGCTCAGTCTTGGAATTAGATTTAGACCAAAAGACATAGGAGCAGAAATTAGGCCATTCGGCCCCTTGAGTCTGCTCCGCCATTCAGTCATGGCTGATAAGTTCTTCAATCCCATTCTCCCGCTTTCTCCCTGTAACCCTTGATCCCATTGATAATCAAGAACCTATCTATCTCAGTCTTAAATGTGTTCAATGACCTGGCCTCCACAGCCTTCTGTGGCATCGAATTCCATAGATTCACCACTCTCTGGCTGAAGAAGTTTATCCTTATCTCCATTCTAAAAGGCCTTCCATTTACTCTAAGGCTGTGCCCTCGGGTTCTAGTCTCTCCTACCAATGGAAGCATCTTCCCAACATCCACTCTGTCCAGGCCATTTAGTATTCTGTAAGGTTTGATTAGATCCCCCCTCATCCTTCTAAGCTCCATCAAGTATAGACGCAGAGTCCTCCAACGTTCCTCATATGTTAAGCTTTCCATTCCTGGGACCATTCTTGTGAACGTCCTCTGAACTCCCTCCAGGGCCAGTACATCCTTCCTGAGATATGGGGCCCAAAACTGCACACAATACTCCAAATGTGGCCTGACCAGAGCCTTATAAAGCCTCAGTAGTACATCCCTGCTTTTATATTCAAATCCTCGCAAAATAAATGCCAACGTTGCATTTGCCTCCCTGACTATTGACTCAACCTGCAAGTTTAACTTGAGAGAATCCTGGACTAGAATTCCCAAGTCTCTTTGCACTTCAGACTTCTGAATTTTCTCCCTATTTAGAAAATAGTTCATGCTTTTATTCTTCTTACCAAAGTGCATGACCTCTCACTTTCCCACATTGTATTCCATCTGCCATTTCTTTGCCCACTCTCCTAACCTGTCCAAATCCTTCTGCAGCCTCCCCAATACTGCCTATCTTTGTATCGTCTGCAAACTTAGCCAGAATGCCCACAATTCCTTCATCTAGACTAATGTATAAAAGTGAAAAGTTGTGGTCCCAACACTGACCCTTGCGGAACACCACTTGTCACCGGCTAAAAGTCGTTTGTTCACAATCTGTTTCATTTGGTGAGGTTATAGTGCCATAGAATGTGATGGAGGATATGCACAATGTGAAGGTTGGCCATGTTTCCAGAAGGCTGTCCGATAGTAATACATACTGATACTGTCACGGACACAAGCATCTGTGGCAGGATGACTGGTGGTGATGAGGTCGAGTGTGAGAGAGCAGCTTGATTAGCAGCTGAAACTGGATACTCATTAAGGCAGTCAGATAGGCCTTTTATTTTAGGAGCTAATAAAATTAGCCAACTTTAAAGCAACCTACAATACAATTCCAGAGTTAAGTGGTTAGGGGATATAAGGGAAGGGAAAAAGGTGTTTTGTTGATTTTGCATTACATTTTATTTAGACTCGGGATTTAATTTTACTTTGCTACAGGTAAAGAAACTGGTTATTTGGTGAGTATACGGTAAGTGAATAAATTCTATTGTAAGGTTCAACGTAGCATATCAAATGGTGGTAAGGTTAATAAAATACATAATGACATTAACTAAATATAAAATTGAATAAAATAATTAAGTAGTCCCTCAAAACACATTAAAGATCTCAGGATAGGTGATGGATCACGATTCCAGCATATGAGCGTTCCTGAATACCAGTTTGGTCCAGGATAAGCACATCTGCAGTAAGTTTTGAGCAGCTTTGACTCGGAGTTTGAACTAGAGTTTGAACTACTGATACAACAACCCATTAGGGAGGGTGAGAATTATCTACATTGTTCGTATCAGAGGCAGTCGCACCTCCTAGGGTGGGGTTGTCTGATTTTTATCAGGGTTCTGGGACAGTGAAATGTGACAACAAATGAAGTAGGAAAGGGAATCCAGAAGGCCGGAGCCTAATCCTTTGCAATTGTCCAACTGGTCTGAGTGTCTTTTAGATTGTCTGGATGAAATAAAGGACTGCAGGGTGGATGAATTGACTGACCGTGGCACTGTGGTATAGAAAGTCATTCAAGGCGGGTGAGTAAGAAGGAATGTAGGGGACAGCCTAGTGAAAGGGACTTGACATCTGAGCCCTGCAACTCTCAACATTTAGATAATTTTTTAAAAAATTCTGTCAAGATGGACAAATTCACACTTTTCCACATTTGTACTCCATTTGCCAGATCTTTGCCCACTCACTTAACCTATCTCTATCCCTTTGTAGGCACATTATGTCCTCTTCACAACTCACTTTCCTACCTGTCTTTGTCATCAGCAAATTTAGCTATTGTACCTTTGGTCCCTTCATTTTACAATTTATATAAATGGTTTTAGAGTTGAATTCCCCACACTGATCCTGTGACACGTCTCATGACATTCTGCCAGCCTGAAAAAGACCAATTTACTCCTATTCACTGCTTTCTATAGCTAGTCAATCTTCTATCCATGCCAATATGTTAAGCCCCTATACCATAAGCTTTTATCTTCTGCAATAATTTTTGATGTGACACATAATCACGTGTCTTCTGGAAATTAAGTACAATACATCTACTGGTTTCCCTTTATCTACAGTGCAAGTTACTACTCCAAAGAAGTTAAATTAGTTAAACATGTGATATCCCTTTGACAAAATCATATTGGATGTGCTTCATTATCTTTGAACTTATCCAAGTACCTTGTTGTAGTGACTAACAATAGCTTTTATTATTTTTCTTTGACAGATGTGAATCTAACTGGGCTGTAATTTCCTGCTTTCTCCTTTCCTTCCCTTTTTGAACAAAGGAGTTACATTGCCTATGTTCCAATCTGAAGGAACTTCCCCGGAAACGCATGCATTTTGAAAAATTATAACCAAAATATCATCTATAATGCATATTAGAATCATGGAATCCCACATGGAAGCAGGCCATTGGGTCCATTGAGTCAGCACCAGCCCTCTGAAGAGCAGCCCACTCAGACCCAACTCCCCAACCTATCCCTGTAACTCTGCACTTCCCACGCTAATCCACCTAGCCAGCACATGTCTGGACTGTGGGACAAAACCGGAGCACCCGGAGGAAACCCATGCAGACATGGGGAGACCATGGAAACTCCACACAGACAGTCGCCCCAGGGTGGAATCAAACCCAGGTCTCTGGCACTGTGAGGCAACAGTGCTAACCACTGAGCCCAATGCATAATAAATAAATAAACGAAGGCTGAAAGTCTGAAACAAAATCAGAAGTTCCGAGAGAAACTTAGCAGCCTGGCAGCATCTATGTAGAGGAGGCAGAGTTAATGTTTCGAGTCCAGTGACACTTCAGAACCTTGCTGCCTATGACTTCTTCTCTGTTTCATTTCCTCTTGTTTTATAGATTTTGGTTTTATTGTCTTTTCATCATTCTGAACAGATTAAGCTTCAGCCAGTTAATATTGACTCATAAGCAGGTATTTGTGCCAGGTCTGGTGTTTAATTTGATCTTTCTGCCTTCAAATTCCCCCTTCCCAATACTAGCCAAAGAACCTATAGGCTTAATGTTTCAGGTCAAGTGACCCTTCATCACAACTGAGGTTCTGTGGAAGGGTCACTCGAACTGAAATGTTAACTCTGACTTCTCTCCACAGATGCTGCCAGACCCGCAGAGTTTTTCCAGCAATTTCTGTTTTTGTTTCTGATTTACAGCATCTGCAGTTTTTTTGGTTCTTAACCTATAGGCTTCCTGTGATGTCACTTTTTTGTTTTATCCCCAACAAGAACTGGCTACAGACCATGCTTCCCAGTCTGCCTCCTGATTCTTTACAGTGCCTGCCATGGGTATCAGGTTACTTGCTTTCCAAACTGCAGCCATTCTTTCAAACGCTGGTTTTAATAACAGTTCTTTCTCATTTAGTTCCCAGTTTTTAAAATGATAAAAATAAAAAGATATATGGTCCATATATTCCTTAACTTTCAGAAGGAATTTGATTAAATATCTTGCATCACAACAAAATGTGAGATCATAAACATTGGGAGAAATAAACAAGGAATAGTTGTGTACACGGAAATGGGAAGAAGGATGTAGATGAACGGAGACCCCCAAAAGTTCAAATGGGTAATTCCCTGGAAGAGTGAAGTCCTACAGAATTTTCAGTTTTATAAATACATATAGTATGAGTAAGATAGTGGAAGTAAATTTTATCTAATAGATTAGTTGGCTAGATTTTTAGCAGTCCATAAGCATTGAGCACCCCATTATAGAAAGAAATATATTTTATCAAGTGGCTTCACTAGGATAATGCATGAGTGAGAAAACTATAAAATAGACACTAAGCCAGAAGGTCCTATCTTGTGTGCATACCAATGCCATTATATCAGCATTGTTGAAGTGGAATGACTTCAAGCAGAGCAACTTAAGAGGAGGTTTCGTGTATGTCAAATGTATATGAAACGGGGTCCAAAGAAATAGCATTTCAAATGTTTGAAGAGTTTGATAGCTTTTCACTATTTCCTCTTGTTAGTGATTTTAAATAATCAGAGCCCATTGTAAGCTTTGCAAAAATTTCTTGCACAATATTGTTGGCGCTTGGAATACTTTACCACCAATGATTCTTTGAAGGGATTATTGGACTGACCTTTGAAGTGGAAGAAGGTACAATATTCTGGAAACAAAGCAAAATAATGAGATTAGTTTTGAATGTGGCTCTAGTACTGATGCAATAAGCTGAATGTGTTGTAAACTACTGGTTTCTGATGTGTTGTGTTGCACTTAACACTATATCAATATCATCAAATTTCTTTCATTTAGAGCTGGTACCCAGGAAAAGAAGTCCACTATATTGTGTTGCTTTTTATCAGGGAATTGGTTCTAGTGCTGCGAAGCAATAAGTAATTGACGTATACCTGACGGTGGGGACAATTCAATGAGAAATCGTCTTATTGTCAGAATGTGTTAGCGAGATTATTTATTTTTCTGATTTATAGGTGGCATCGTTCCATGAAGCCAGACTAAAGGAAATGGAGTCATTCCGCTCCCTCCAAACAGCAAATTCCATGAAATTTCTCTCTGATATGGACTGTATGGAAACAAAGGTCTGTGTTTGTCAGAAGGCTGCAACTGGCTCCATGCTGCAGTGTGAGCTTTGCAAAGACTGGTTCCATAGCAGCTGTGTCTCAATGGTGAATACTCACCATGGGGAGCTACCCTGGCTCTGCCCACTTTGTCAGCGATCAGAAAAACCATCATTTGAGCAAATCCTCCCATTACTCACGACAGTACAAAAGATTCCTGTCAGACTGCCAGAAGGTGAAGCACTAAATTATGTTTTTGAACGAGCTATGAACTGGCAACATCGGACAGAGCAGCTTCTTAGCAGAGATGAACTGCGCTTGGCCCAAATAACATCACAAGTAGCAATCCAGGCATGGCAGGGAATGACAAAACAAATGGCTGCCACTGAACTAGAGAAACGAGTGGCTGAAGGTAACTTGCAGGTAAGACCAGACTAAAGGAATACTTTGAAGTAGGCTGTCCCTTTCCTGGAAAATAATATTTATTCTATTTCTTTTTACAGTAACTAGCTCCTTCTATAACTTGGTGTTAATTGAATTTCAGGATCTGCGTTTTGCTTGAAAATAATCTTGATACAGTTCTACTTAATTTTAATAAGACTAGATACTGCACATACTCCAATACAAAGATGGAACCCCAAAGCTGGCCGATTGATTATTGGATTTTGAGTGTGTTTGCAAAAGACGCATGCCGATTTAGGACGACTGAAAAATTCAGAAATGGCCTGGTAGTACTGAACAAGCATCAAAGTGTGAAACTTTATTCAGGGATGAGATTTGTAGGAATTTAAGGTGATCAGGGGAATTCTCTGTCAAAGGATAAATTTTTCTTGTGTTGTGGGAAGATGTGTACAACAGAGGAATTATAGATATTTTTAATCAACCAGTTCAGACACGTTATGATAAATCTTCTCAGACACTTTAAACACCTCCTGAGCAGGTAGTACTTGATTCCAAGCCTTTCAGGTCAGAAGTAAGGACATGACCACTGGACCACAGAGACACAGTCCAGAAGATCACCAGGTTAAAGCACTGACTAGTTGAATCATAGTATATGCCAGGGAGGGACTGTTGTGGAGACTTTGAGGCAGAAAGTACAGGTTCAAGTCCCATCTACTCCAGAACTCGTAACTGAGTCGGTTGATAGAAAATGCCTAGAATATGCCAGTTTGGATCCTATCCAAACTTGTTCAGCTCGCTCATAGCAGGAGTAGAGGCAACACGATTATTGTCTGTGTCTCTGTTCTTGTTCCTGTTCGTTGTTCAGCAATATTTTCTTGAAATGTATGAACGAACGTGAATTTGTGTCAATATTTGTAAATTAGGCTCATCTGTGAAGAATGTCTTTTAGACAAAATAAGATATGGTAGCCGGTAACCATAGAACTGAGGTTCTGCACACACTTGAGGGAAGAAAACTTATTCAGACAAAAGAAAAAAGATGTCCCAAAGAGAGCAGTTTTGAAGTTTTGGACAGCCTGATTTTTTTTTTTTTTTTTTTTAAAAAGAGTTGCGTTGCTGAAGGAAATGCTCAGCAAATTGTGAGCCATACAGTGGTTTAAAAGTGCTGTTGTATGATTCAAGGGAAAAACTTGGTAGCTAGTAGCTAGACTTGAGGGACGCATGCAGAAATTGGCTTTGAAAATGAAAGAAACAAACTTTTCATTGCGTATCAAAGACGTAGGTTGGGGAGGGGGTTGAGGACTTTACTGTATTGCTCTTCAAAAAGACCCACTAGGTTGAATGGATTGCTTTTGTACTGTACTATTCTATGATAGAAAGAAATGAGATGATGCAATTCATTCAGATGGTTATTCAGTATAGATTCACATCAGAGTTGGGAGTGGGTAAAATTGTTAGTGGAGAAAAGTAATTGATATTAAGAGGGAAGGCACTTAAGAATTTGTAAATGAGCAACTTGATGCCATAGAGTGCCATTTGAAGAGGAAACCTCACTTAAATTAGCAATCTTTATATGGGCCTCCATGCAAAACATACTAGGTTAAAACAAAGTTCCTCAATGCACATTGCTTGTACAAAATGGACAGATGGAGTTTTCTGGGTCCTGTCTACATGAGCATCATCTTAACTGATTATATATTGTGCAATTGTTGATGTTTTAAATTTTGTTAAATTTCGTTGCATTGGTATATCCATTAGTCTGTGGAATTGTGGGCTACCTCTGCAACTTTGTTTCCTTTTGCCCCTCCTTTGTTTACCCCTTCTCCCACCATGGGTTGGGGTGGCATTTGCAGGAAAAAAAGTTAACTTTTCACATACTTAACTTTTCATCAAAACCCTTAGCTAACCTAATTTTAACTGCTGTCAAATTATACGGTGTGATTGACCACTTCTTTCTCTCAAATAAAAGTAAATTGCTACAACGCTGAAAATCTGAAATAAAAACAAATTGCAAAGGTGCTCAACAGGTTTGATAGCAGCAGCAATAACATTCCAAGTCTAATATGTTGTCCTTTGGATGCTCCCGGGCCTGAGCTTTCCCTCACTTTCTGCTTTTAACATTGGTTCTCTTTATCTTCTGCCTTCACTAATCTGCTTAGTTGAAAGTTAATTTTCTTATGTATCACACAAGACTTTTATCTATTCAGGTGAATTCTGGCAATGAGAGTGAGCTTATTACTGCAGTTTGTAATACCAATCCATTTGAAAAGGAGAAGATTGTAAGATACAGACCTCCATGGCAGACCTGCATTCCAGCTCAAGGTTTGTACTTGGGTTATATTCTCACATGTTAACACATCTTGCTGGCAGAGGAGATGATGCCACATCTCACATTCACATTCAGCGGCTGCAGTCATATCTATTCCATTTAAAAAAATCTCATTTGAAGAATACTATTTTTCCTATCTTGCTTCCAGCCTGGGAAATTTATAAGGGTGTGCTAATTGGATACACCTGTAATGAGTGGGTACCAGAATGGTGGTGGTGGTGGTGACAATGGCAATGAGAAATGCCCGTCTTTACAAGGCTTCCAAAGAGTAGATCTACAGTTTGATTGCTAGTTGTGGGTTTCATGCAACTAGCATTGCTTGGTGAGCATACCTAGATGATATACAAAACCACTAGTATCCTTTGAGTGGATGACAACAATATGCTGCCAGCTAAGCTGTATTTCTATTAATGTTTCTTCAATTCATGTATGGTTGCATCACTGCCAAATCCAGGCAAATAAAAGGTAGCTGTCTACGGTATCACAAACATGAAGAATGAATGATTGTGTACACTCTATCTGGATCCAGTGGTATCTTCCCGTGGAGAAATAGTATAGTAGCTTTTTTTGGCTGTGATGGAATATCTGTAAGCTTATCAACCTGAAGCCTTCCTCACCTGAGGAAGACAGGATCGAAATGTTCACTTGAGCTTCTTACAGTTGCTGGTAAATAACTGGGAGTATTAACATCCCATTCTTTATCTGTAATTAAAAACATATAAATTATCAATGTTGTGTTTCTTGTCACATCAAAATAGCTTTCACATTTTGTACTCCGTGTACAATTAAATCTTTGAAGTCTATAAAAATGCTCCCAAAAATGTCAATTGTTTTGTGCACAAAGGTCCCCTGCAGGGAACTTGATGCTCATCACTTGCATGGCTTTGTATTTAAAAAGTTGCCATAGACTTTTGTTGACCGTGCAGGTTAGTGCCATTGTGAATCTTGCCTTTTCACGTTCTGTCATTTTAACTTGGGGGCCTTCATTCATTTTGCCAATATGATCTAATGGGTATTCATTATTTTGCCACTGTAACTTTTGCATTGCGGTTGCTTAGTGGTCTCTGAGCAATCCTCGTCTCCAGATGCAACATTTCATTCCATAAAGTAGCTACAATGTTGGCCTGAAATCTTTGGATTTAGGGTTTTATTTGGTTCACTTACGTGCATATGTACTCTTCGCACTTCTGGAGATGGGCCTGATCATCTTTTAGGATCCATTTGGATACATGATCCTTACAATCAGAGCAGTGGCTGGTCCCTGTTCAAATTCTGCAATTGATCTTGGGCATCATTTTCAGGACGGATCCTTCCTCCTTTTGATCTCGCACTAGTTTTTCAACAACACCAATTTCCTTGTTTTAGTGCAGTTATTTAGCAAATGCTGAGAGTTGTAGCTGCACAACAGTTTTGTTCTTCCTTTTTGTTGGAGGATTAATTTCTGTTTATCACATGCCATGCTGAACACAGTATGATGTATATTAAACTTGTACACCGCTTAATCGCTTGATCGTGTTGATTTACAATACAAGTAAAGCATACATTTCTGAGGTGAAAAATTAAGGATGTCTACTGATGCAAGTGTAGCATTTTGTTACTGAAAATGCGTTCAACTTATTTACTGGGTTAATGCAAAAATGTGATTTTTGGCACTGAAAACATGAGACCATAAGAAATAGAAACAGGAGTAGGCAGTTTGGTATCTTGAACCTGCTCCCACTCAATAGATACTTTGAGTGCTAGCCAAGCAAATCTCATCGGGGAAAAGGTAAGCATTCAAAGCTAGAGCTAGTTGGATGACCATGAAAATAAAGGTTAAAATAAAACTTGAGATTTATGACACATCAGTTACAGAATACAGTATGAAATAAGGTAGAATATAAAGTGGAGTGCATACTGAAAACATATATAAAAAGGGCAAAGAGTGGTGTTCCTATTAAGCTTTGCATGCAGAACTACGCAATGGCTTGGAAGGTACCGTGCTGATTTTTAAAATTTATTAAATACCATGTTTGTGAGACCAAAATCTTCTAAAATGCACATTGAAAGTACTAGTTATGTACAACATCAACATTAGATATGTATTGGAAGAGATTGTGGGATGAAATGACTTTGGTTTTGCTGATATTCATTTCATTTCAAATTTCACGCTGGCTGTTGCTAGTCTACCTCCAAGTTATTGCAAGTCTTCTCTGTGCTTTGTCATCTGCAGATCTAACTGATAGTATCATTTGGCCCTCACTTAATTTTGCTGTGGCCCTGTTTTTTGTTCCCAAGTTGACCGTTGAAAATGGTGTTTAGTCAGGGACACCCGTTAAGAATTGGGCCAGATGATCCAAGGACGGCCAGAGAGGCCACGTAGTTCCAGAGACTGCCTGGGTAGAAAATCTGTCTTGGGACTTCAGCATTGTTTTCAAAGTTAAAAGTGAAGATTAAAAACAGAAAAATCTCTGTTTCTCACTCCCTCACTCCTCATTCATGTTAGCCAGTGCCCACCTTCCACAGTCCCTAATGCCCCATTTGCCCCCAGTCAACCTTGTATTCCTTAATAGCCCTTATGTCAACTCAGATCCATCACCTCCCACCACCATTCCTTTTGGGACGCTATCAGCTTAGATCTAATGGTACTGCCAGTCTCGTTGATGGACTTTGAATCTCCCACTCAGTACATTTTATGCCCTTTCCATTTTCTGTGTTTACTATAAGTAGTGTATTATTACCAGCAGCAGATATTTTTGCCAGTGTTTGGCCTGATGTTATGAGACTTAGAGTCATACAGAACGGAAACAGACCCTTGTGTCCATGCTAAGCATCATTTCAAACTAAACCAGTGCCACCTACCTGCTCCTGGCCCATATCCCTACAAACCTTTCCTAATCATGTACGTATCCAAGTCTGAATTAAGCATTATAATTGTGCCCACGTCCATTACTTCCTTAGAAAGTTCATTCCACACACAAACCAACCTGTGTAAAAATATTGCCTCATGTCTTTTTTAAAAATCTTTTTCCTCACCTTAAAATTGTGCCCCCTTGTCTTGAAACCCTCGATCCTAGGGAAGAGCTATCTACCATTAACCCTATCTGGATCCCTCATGATTTTATTAACCTGTATAAGGTCACTTCTCATCCTCTTTAGGCTCCAGTGGAAAAAGTCCTAGCCTATCCAGCCTTTCTTTATAACTCAAGCCTTCCATACCTGGCAACATCCTGGTAAATCTCTTGTGAACCCTCCTCAGCTTAATGATATCCTTCCTATAACCAGGTGACCAGAACTGGACAAAGTATACCTGAAGAGGCCTCTTCGTGTTCTGTACAACCTCCAACGTGACTTTGCAACTCCTGTACTCAAAAGGACTGTGCAATGAAGGCCAGCGTACTAAATACCTTTTTTGACCATCCTGTCTATATGTGACACAAACTTTCAAGAATTATGTACCTGAACCCCTAGGCCCCTCTACAACACTACCCAAAGCCCTACCATTAATTGTATAAGTCCTACCCCTGTTTGCTGTTCCAAAATGCAACACCTCGCATTTATCCAGATTGAACTCCATCTGCCATTTTACAGCCGATAGACCTGCTTGGTCAAGATCCCTTTGTAATCTTAGAAAACCTTCTTCACTGGCTACTATGTCACCAATTTTGGTGTTGTCCACAAACTTACCAACCATGCCTTCTATGTTCACCTCCAAATAATTTATGTAAATGACAAACAAAAAAGGACCCAGAACAAATCCATGTGAGACACCACTGGTGACAGGCCTCCAGTCTGAAAACACCCATCCACCACCACTCTATCTCCTGCCATTAAGCCAGTTAGTATCCAAAACTGGCAAGCTCACCCTGAATCCCATGTGACCTAACTTTACTAATTAGTCTATCATGCGGAAGCTTGTCGAAGACTTTACTAAAGTTCAAGTAAGCAACATTTACTGCTCTGCACTCCTCAATCTTTTTGCTAACTTCCCAAGTTTGTGAGACATGCTTTTCCTCCCACAAAACCACGCTAACTATTCCTACTCAATTATTGCCTCTCTAAATCCTATCTTTTAAAATCACCTCCAACAATTTACCCACATTCATAGAATCCCTACAGTGTGGAAACAGGCCCTTCGGCCCAACAAGTCCACACCGACACTCGGAACATCCCGCCCAGACCGATCCCCCTATAACCCACCTACTCTACACATCGCTGAACACTACAGGCTATTTAACATGGCCAATCCACCTAGCCTGCGCATCTTTGGACTGTGGGAGGAAACCGGAGCACCCGTAGGGAACCCACACAGACACGGGGAGAATGTGCAAACTCCACACAGACAGTTGCCCAAGGCTGGAATTGAACCCAGGTCCCTGGTGCTGTGAGACAGCAGTGCTAACCACTGAGCCACCGTGCCACCCTGATGTCCAGAGTCGATATTGAAGGCTCTTGAGGGCAAATCTTTGACTGTATACTACTGTGTCACAACCTCTGCTGGGTATGTACTCTGGTGGGATAGAATATACCAAGGATGATGATGGTGTTGTTTGGGACATGATCTATAAGATATGATTCGATGAGTGACTTTTCAGGCTCATGGTTGACTAGTCTGTGTGACAGCTGTCCAGATTTTGGCACTAGCCCCTAGATGCTTTTATGGAGGACTTTATATGGTCTACAGGGCTGACATTATCTTTTTCTGGTCCCAGGTGGTCCTTTTTTTTTAATTGATTTTTTTTTTTTCCTATGTTTTTTTGAGACTTCTTAGTGCTTTGATACAACTG